AAAACATAAGTATATTGTTAAAAAATTAGTTAGTTCGAGTTATGTTTTCGTAAAACATAAGTATATTGTTAAAAAAATTAATTCTACTCTCTCTCTAGTTCTGTTACTTTGAAATGAGAAACTCAAACTCTGAAATCCTACAGGAAAGCAGTGTGGGAAAATAAGCAGAGAAACACTAAGCTGGTTTTAAAATTTAATTCGGAGTCAAGTAATGCACATGCACATTACCAAAACTTACATCAGCCAAAAGAGAACGCACAAACGTTCAGCTGCCCAAAAACTACATAAAATACTAAATGTTAAGGAAAATATGTGCAGTTGCACTATGATCAAACTAAACCCTTTAGCTGGTATCTTTATTTTTAATGCTTAAAGCGGGTGTTTGATCTTCCATAATAATATCACTTATTAATTAAACAGTTATGTGTAATTATTAATAAACACAATAATGTTGTCCTCCTGCGTTGTGCCGTGTCTACAATATCGTTGTTTAGGCTATAAATTATGCACTACTTCCTGTTGATGTGGTTATTTGTAAACGTTTAAGTGATTACTAGACATTTGAAATATAGAAGAACAAATAGAAATTCTAGGAATTAGGTCGAGTGTAGGAAATCTGCTTCGTGCATTATGTTTGTTTTAGCTCAGATCTAAGTGTGTCATTTAAAGATTCTTCTTTTACTTCGAAAACTTTGTAAAGATTTGAGAAGGGAAAAGTCTGAATTTTTCTCATTTCTTCGTTTTGCGAAAATATGTAATTAATTTCGTAAATATACGCACAAAAATTTATTCAGAGTAGTTTTTGTTTGAATTTTCTCAAAGCGTAAAAATATTTATTTCTCAAAATTAAATAATAAAAACTGACTACGTAAATGACAAAGTTGTAAATACACGTGTATGTGCATCTATGTCTGCATATTTTCTAGCGCAAATATTTCTGTACAACTACAAAAAATATACACATTTTAAAATATCCAGAAAATTATGTATGATAAAAGAGTTCTAAATTGCACTAATATAACATATTGTCAAGGTGCCTAGAACAATAATGCTACAAAATGTATGTGAGTATTAAACTTATTGACCAGACAGCGCAGGAGGACAAGTTACACCAATAATTTGACGAAAGCGCATGCAAAGCTAATGGTTACTCCATGAAACCTGTGCTGACGAGCTTGTCGAGAAAAAACTTTACGTCAGCGAGCTCAGAGTCGCGAATGCCCAGGGATTTGAGCATGCCCATGTCATCAGTTTCAACAGCCATGAAGACATTCCTCAGATGGTCAAGGTCCGTCCTCATCAGGTGCAAGGCTTTTCCAAAGTCTTCCAGGGTCTCGCTTTCTAAAGATATATAAGTAAATAAATGTTCTCAAACTAATTAGACCTTTTAACGTTTTACTTCAATTTAGAAATTAGCTAATTCTATAACAATAATAATCATAGGTTCGTTGATTAAGATGCTTGTTTTATACTGAAACTATTTTATCTACAATAATGGAAATAATTACACAAACTTATGGGTGATACACATACAGAAGTCGTTAACAATAGATAACTGAAATTGAATGGTCATTTTACAATTAGTCAATAAATTAGCCCTCCCGCCCCACCCGGTGGCTCAGTGTCAAATATGAATGCCATAGTTGAGAGTATTCCATTGGTCTTTTTTTTTCCACCAGGTATCGTTTCACCATATTTGCTGTATACTTGGAGTCACTGTCCTGCCCAGCGGATATTATACCTGAAGGAATGACAAGGTGGATAAGAATTTGCTTGTACTTGTCATCAGTAAGTGTGCATCAGTTTTGTATAAATCTTCAACATCACTGGGTGAGATGCAGCCCACATTTGTATTGGTTTCCTAACATGCTTCATTGTAGATGTACATTGACCGTGTTATCATTCTTCTGTCTGTCTAAACTATTGTTTATTGTTACCAAACAATTTAAAGTTGGATTTGGTCTGTAAAGACCCTCCTCCAGTCTTGATCTACCATTTGAACTATGATACTCAATTCAGTACTTTGACTTGGTTATCTCTCCTAAGCAGCTATGCACCCACTGAGTCTAATTCTACTAACTTGTATCTTACTGTTCTAGAGGCAACGTTCTCACCTGCACTTACAGCTAAGCCATTGGCGAGATCATTACTGGATTGTAAAGCATATCACGTAAAGAACATACACTTGATATGACTTTTAAAGAATTTGGACTTTCTACTTCAATCACTTCAGCTCCTTGTAAAAGATGAACTGTGCCTCAACCTTTGTGACCTTTCTGTCTTTCGAGCTTTGAATGCATTCATTATATTGCTGCTGGAAATAGTATGACCGCCTGGACTTTTATAGACATTGTCTGATAGGTTGTGATCGTACTCTGGCACAATTATTTTTCATCTAATAAAAGGGAAACAATCTCATAATATTCGCATTTTATACCAACTTGATTCACTGTTTCCATACTTATTTCCATTAATAAATGTGTCAAACTTTAGCAATATAACAATTCATCTAAAAAAGTTGAAAAGAGTATGTTTCAAGTTATCTTCGAGAAGAGTATATCTTCATATTGGTACTGATATTTTTCAAAAACTCCGAGAATTATGACGAAACTGGAAGTTGCGATAATTCGTTTAGAAACATTTTGTTGTGAACCAAAGTGTTAGAAAAAAAAAGGACCAGAGTAATATTCTTTTTATAAACCTGTTTGGAAAGCGTAACATAAAGAATAGGAAAAATGATTTCCTTCACACATTGCGTAATTCTGTTGTATTCGGTTCTTGTTATTCCTAAGAAAATAACCAGATTTGTGGAATGCAGTGGCGTTTTTAGGATTTTTTTTTATTTGAGGGAGGAATGCCAGGGGGATAAAGAGTTACTTGGGGGACAGAAAGAGTCAAGTGTTATCAATTTAAAAAACTTAAAAATTAGCTTTTTGTCTTAAAAAAATGTATACCAATACTTTATAGTTATTAAAAAAAAAACGAAATTACCTCAGGCTCTTTTTTGAACAGCAGCATGACTACATCCTCGTCCGAAAATAACATTTTCATGTCAATGTGAGTCACAATATAGAGAGAATTTAAGAATATTAAAAGATTAAATTCTAATATCTCGGATGACGAGATTCGGGGAGCAGAGTCCTCCAATTGGGTCTGCGCCCCACATCATCTCTATGCAAAACCCCTACACAAATACTCTGAGTATTATGTTGTTGTTGCTTGTAATTAAATACAAAGCTACACCACGGGTATCGAAACCATGATTCTAGCTTTGTAAGTCCGCAGACATACCGCTGTGCCATTCAGTATTGTGACAAAAATGCTCATTTACTAACTTTCTATAGATAACAGGTAAGGAGGCGTGTCACGACAAATATTTCACAAATAAAGTAGAAATATTAGTTGTAAGGTTTGGTCTGTGTTGAATTTCTCCTGCAAAGCTACACGAGGGCTATCTGTGTTAGCCGTCCCTAATTTAGCAGTGATAGACTAGAGGAAAAGTAGCTAACTAGTCAACACCATCCATCGCTAATTCTTGGGCTACCCTTTTACCAACGAATGGTGGGATGAGCCATCACTTATAACTGAAAGGGCGAATATGTTCGGTGACGGGGATTCGAACTCGCGACCCTCAGATTGCGAGTCGAGCATCATAACCACCAAGCCAAGTTGTAAGGAAACAAGAAGTACCTTCTCCATTTTATCCACAACAATAAACTAAGTAAGAAAAACAATTTTTTTCTTGTTCTATAAGGTCACCATAGTTGGTCTAAGCCAATCTATGCAGATATGAGCAAATAGATATAAATAAATTTAGGTAAATTGACGTCCTAAATAAATAAATATTAAAAACCTCGGATATAGGCTTTACTTCTTTAAATATTATGAATTCTTATATTTTGTTAAGCCAAGTAAAACGCTTTAAACATGCTAATGAGTTTTACCTGACAGGGCAATGGCAACTTTCTGAATCCCTCCAAGTGGTTCAAGTGCGTCTCGTGCCTTGGCTCCAAACAATTTCTCGAGGTAATTTGGCCCGTGATTTGCCAGAAGAGTTTGCAGAAAGTTTGCAGTTTCTTCCACGGGAGGTCGCTTTGCTAACAAACGAAAATAAAACCATATGTATATTGGAAATGAGGCATTAATTACTTTAGTAAGGTTTATAACAATAACCTGGAAAAAAATGCCGTAAATCAACATTTGGTATTTCGGGCCAATTTCAGTAAAAGAAACATTACTGAGATTTCAACATTCTTTATTAAACTTTTATGTTTTTTGAAACTGAGTTAATCAAAATAAATGCACCATAAATAATAAAAAACGACAAAACTTTTAAATATTGCCATAGTAGGAAACAAATGCACTGTAGCCTTTCATAGAAAATACATAAAGAAAGATAAATAAATGTAGTTCTGTATTATTTTGCAAATGAAGTTTATAAAGCAGAAAGTATTACCAGTAATAAATAACAATAAACTTACACCATAAATATTGGACACTTATATACTTACATGTTAACATACGAGATTTGAAGAATAAAGGAAATTACACCTTCAACATAAATCATTTATTTGTTTTGAATATTCGCGCAAAGCTATACAAAAAATCTATCTACGCTGGTCGTCTTTAATTTTGAATTCATACACTAGATGAAAGGAAGCTTACTCACTACGAACTCTTGGCCTGTTGTTGTCTAAGTAAATAGTGAGGTTTGATCCGTTACTCTCGTAACATATTCACAGTTCCAAAGTGCATTTTTGCGTCAACGGGACGCGAACCACGGACATCAAATATACAAATATAACACGCTAAACACCAGGCCACGCCCAGCCCAGCAAAATTTAATAAATATAGAAGGTGAACTGGAAACAAAAACGATTCGTAAAAAATCCAAGGAAAATGATAAAAAACTATTTAAAAAAGAAACACTTACACCAGATCTCGATTTACAACAAACAATGCATTGTGTAGGCTTCCTACTGCTGATGTTCCACGATGTCAAAGTACATCTATGTGTTATAGTTTACCACACAGCTCAGGTACCTGACTTTTGGTTATTAAAAACAAACTGTACACACGAGTACATACACATGTATCATAATACACATAAATCGTATATATATATATATATATATATTGCTAGTTTTTACTTGCTCACTATGTTCTACACAATCATGTCTTAAACCATACTGAATTTTTCAACTGTATCTTAATATAAGATTCAGCAAGTATAATAACACAGCATGATATTCGGTAGTTAAACAACTGAATAAAAGAAATCTAGTAAATAACGTTTTAATGGCATGAATAAATAAATATGGATTTTCAATGTATTAACCAGCTGTAGTTGTAAAACGTTTTACAACGTGATATATGACTTATAAGCGAGAGATTGGGCTAAGATTAAATTAAAGATACCACTTCTATTATGTACACCAACGGGAGGTTTTACTTTGCTGAGTAACGACATACAATAGAAAACTGGAAAGAGCAACAACCGATATTTAGAGCCATCTGGGTTTGCTATGAAAGATAACATGAATGAAACCTGACAGAATAGTAATAAATCACACGTATAGATGGCGTATGAATTATTCATACGTATAATGCTTCTATTGATACAAACTCTATATGAATATGTTATTATTTGCAATAGCATGGGATAGTTTTCGCCGATTTTTCCAAGTCAATTTCCAAATAACGGCTTCCATAAAGCACATTTCTAGAGGCACCCGAACCTATTTATACATCTATGTAGGCGGCTCACGAAGCAACTAGCCTTAAAGACTCAAATGCTTTTTAAGGGTAAATATATTTTGGTCAGTGTTGAAAATCGAAGGTCTTACACGAGCTTCTAGTGTATTATACGAAGATAATGTAAAAAGAATAAACCCCATAATCGACCATTCTGAGTCAAAATAAAAAGACTTTTTTAAGCTATAAAAATCAGCAGATAACACAAAGCTTCGTCGAAAATTTGTAAGTATAATTATTCTCATTGATAGTTTAAATAAACTCATTTTGAAGACTTGAAAAAACATGCAAGTATAATATGGAATCACTCGAGAAAATGCTAAATTTCATGAGCTCTTGTTTTGTTTTCTTTTGCTTGAAGGAACTTAGGTTTAGAACTGAGAAACACAAACAAACAAATATATTTACATAAACAGAAATTTTATACCGTTTAATCCAGTAATAGATACAGACAAAAAAAATATTACCTTCTAAAAACAAGAAATTATATATTTTCTACTTTTACATGGAATACATCAATTTTATGTCGAACTTCAGTGGTGAAGCTAAATAAGTTGTTGTTTGTTATTAAGCACAATCTGTGCTCTGCCCACCACGGATATCAAAACCCTGTTTTTAATAGTATAAATCCGCAGACATACCACTGTGCCACTGGGGGGTGGGGGGGGGGCTAGAAAGTGCTACTCAAGTGTTTGATATTGAAAATCTTTACACGAAATTATATTGAAGAAGTGGATCTCCAAATAGAAAAAGTCCCTAGAGGCGATCCTGTTGATGAAGTAGTGATTATAAAACCAACTCACTATGATGTAGAGGTGAAAAAGGAAATGAGCCATAAAATTTTGATGTTCACGTTTGAACAACAACGACCTTTTTTTTTTAAGATTTTGCCTAAAAATCTGCTATATACACACTGTAATTTAAAATAACATTCCTGCGTCTGTGATACATATTTCGGACTCATCCGGCTAAGTAACGGCAGATAAATTACATCCGTGAGTCATCATAGGAGTCATGCGGCCCAACGTCGAAACTTCGCATAAACTATCAGGTTGATATTTTATGCTTGTATGTTTTAGAACAAAGCCACATTGGGCTATCTGTCGTGTCCACCTCGAGGAATGGAATCCTGAATTTTAGCATTGTAAGTCCGTAAACTTACCCCTGTCCCACGGGGGGAAGGGGATATTTTATTAACAATGTTTAAGTTACAATATAAATGTAATATCAATTACAACTGAATTTGAGTAAATAAGTAATAATAGTGATAATACTGATGACAGGGAAGAGGTCGCCGTTTACTGATGCTAGGTATGAAATATTCTGTCACATTATGTATCTAGGCTTCTTTGGTAACCTTTTATATCTCTAAAAATCTCATAACAAACGAAATTGTAGGAGCCAGTTTTTCATATGTCCAGGCACTAAGATCACAATACCTCTGGCTCGAATATAAGGCTATGATTGTGGAAAACATGTTTTCATTTTATTAGCTACTGAAATAAATTAATAGAACAGTCAAGACAAATCAATATCAACTGAAACTCTTTGTTTGGCCTATCATATCAGTATTTTCCTTCCTCCTCTTCTGCAGACTTCCAAGCGTACATTTAGACAGACTAAAGACACAAAAATTCATTGGAGCTATATCGAAGGATTTAACAGATATATGGTTGAAAGAAATTACTGTAATTCCAATTCTTTTGACCATCTTTCTCATGAAAAAACGGGTGCATGACCGTTATTGTTAACGGTCCGAGCATTATTGCAATGGGTTTTTTTTTGGGCTGAAAGATTCTCTTTCACAATCAAATAATTAATTCTGAAGTTGTTGGTCCTGATTGGTTTGAAGTGTATTTTTGAAACCATTTGTTGTCCTAAAAGCTCTGCTAAACGAATTCTTCAGCTCCCATTGAGAACAAGGAAGTTTTCCTTCTTTTGAAATGCTATGTCTTTTGTCTCTACTTCGTGAAGAGTTGTCACGTACTTCTCCAGCTACTGATCAAGTTTCACAGCCAGTTTACAGGATCAGCCAAACCAAAAACCATGAAGTAATTCGGTTTAAATCAATTGATTCTAAACTCAAACTCAAAGTTTAGAATCAAATGCAAGGGGATGCTCAGAAATACATTTCTCTTCACCCCAAACGAGAAGAAAGATTACTTGAGAATAGCTTCGCGAGAAAACACAAACAAAATAAAACAACTGATAATTAGATAGTATAGCTCGTCGCGATGTGTCGGTCTGACAAGCAAAAGAGCAAAAAATCGAAGTCGGCTCGCGACTGGAGAGTAGCACAACCCAAGGGTGGGGATCTGTAGATCCAATACCCAGAATTTTGATGTGGGAGGAAAACGGGAGTACCCCAAGAAAAACCCACTTTCACTATCAGGTCGCCGAACATTCTATCTGGGTAGTGCCTGAGCTGTGTATCTGAAAGGAGAAAAGAGAGACATGGATGGTTAACACGCTACATGTTAATGATTACAAAGGGTCGATCAGCACGGTTTGCCTTTATATGTGGGACAGATGTCGTTCTAACACTTGACCGTATTTCTGGAATATGTCTGATATCTGAATGTATGAGCTTTACAAACACATTGGTTACAATACTGGTACCTTTCAAAATGTGTTTAAAGATGAAATGGATAGAATCAGAAAACTATATACACGTTTCAATCACTGCAACGTATACGATAATCCCCATTGATATTTCGTTGATGAAGGCCTTCATATTTTTTTTTAAGCAGAGCATGGCTGAATGATTTGTGACGTCACTCCAAGAACTATTTCATTACTGTGATTTCGACAGTTTTATTTTCCACGTATGGTCAATATCAAATTCCAGAACAATATATTTTTTCTACATTTCGTATTTTTAAAAGAAAAGTTTAATGTGACGATTATTGTGTGTTGATTAAATTAAACAAACCATTCGAAGTTTTCTTTACACACAGACACTTAAACATAAGTTGATAGATAATCCGTTATCTACATAGGTGTAAAGAAAGACCTTTACTGGTTTTATATTTATTAATTTTGGAATAAAAAACAAACAGATGAAAATAAATAGCCATCGAGGGTAGAGTATATACAGAAAAAAGTTCTGGAAATTAACTGACAAATGATTTCTAAAGGTAGATAGATTGACGAATTGGACAAATTAGAATACTTTGATAAAACTATGCGTTGACAATAGCTGCTCAGTATTAAGATTCTAACTGTTCAGTGTTAGGTTGTAAATACTAAATTAATTTAATAACTGCTCAGTGTCAAGACTGTAAAATACTAAAATAACTTAATAACTTCTCTGTGTTAAGACTGTAAAATATTAAAATAACTT